TTCCAACGCAGCCAGAGCTTGCTGTGAGGACGGTAGATCGCACGTGAAAATGAATCCTTTTGAAAATTCTCCTTCCATATACCTTCAATCAACCTACGTCTCCAAGGCCGTGTATCCCCTCCACATCCCTAAACAACCCCCCACAGAGTACCCCAAACCAGCTTCCATCCCAGACACTGCTCCAAACCAGCCCACTTCTCATACCCACAGACATCCCTTGTATGCCTCCTAAATTCCTCAAGACATCGGCCTCCAAACCGATCTCTTACTCCCCAACCAGCCTCCCCTCCCCAGTGGCCCCCAGCACCTATTTCTCAGCCTCCCCAAAGCGACTCCTCCCCTCTCTCCAAAAAACTCTTGGCCTTCTTCTGCCATTTTCTGTTCTCTTCTCTTCCCCCACCCTGACCCCACAACAGTTAGCTGCACCCCCCCCATCCACATGAAGATGTTCCTGGCACCTTAATAAGAGATACACCAATGGCGTTTGCCTTCAGGTGGCCCTTGAGCTGATCACAAATCTTGCCGATGAACTGATGAGGCACCACAAAGATCAGGATGTCAGCATCCGCTGCAGCCTGGACCACGTCTGGTACAGCCACCTGTGGGGGTGACCAGTGCTCATGGGCTTCACAGACTTCTAGCCTCTGTGGAAGCCCATTCAGGAGATCTAGGAGCTAAAGAGGGAGGCTGGTGGGGGGAGAAGGAAGGACAGTTGGGGGATTGAATCTGGAAGGGCTGAACCTGGAGGAATGAAACTGTCTTCCCTCCCCCTCATCATCATCCCTCTCCCTCCAGCTGCCCAGGGCTCTTGAGGACTCCTGGGAACCTCCACTCAGTACTCTTCTAGCCCTTGGCTGTGGGACAGTGAGGGAGGCCACAGGAGGCCTAAGCTTGGCAGGAGGAAGAGGCCAAGTAAGATTTCATCACCCGGCTTCTTAGGGCCCCCAACTGGGAAGGGAAAGCTCTCCCTGCTATCTTCCCTGCTCCCCCTCTCCAGGTTGGGAGCAAGCCACATGGATTTGACCAGGGACCTTAAGTCCAAGGAACAGCCTCCAACTCAGCTAATAGCCCAGTGAATAAGTAACAGGATTAGAGCCTGAGGCAGGTGCTACCCAGACCCCCAGTCTTTGGTTGCCATGGAAACCAACTTCCTTGTCCCCCTCCCTTTTCTGCCTGGAAGCCCATAAGTGTATCGGGGGGGTGGGGATGGGTTCAGGTTCTCCTCAGTTCTAGAAAGTCCTGGAGAGCACTTTGGGGGTTGTGCATAGGGGTGCCCTGTGTCTACAGCAGCCATCCCAAGACGCTTCCTAAGTCCAAGTAGCAGCTGAAATGGCCCCCTCTCAGCAGGAAGCACCCCTCCACTTCCCTGTCCCTTCCTTGCAGGGTTTTGGGGCTCACCACGTTGGGGGGCAGCTTGTGCCCTGGCAGGTATTTGACGTTCTCATGCTGCGTGTTGATGATCTCTGTCAGCTTTCTCCCCCCGATGTCTTCCTCAAACACCCACATGGTCACCCGGGGGTCAAAGTGTGACAGCTGGGCTGCATTGCTTCCCACAATCTTGGCAATAGCTGAGCCCCTAGTGGGAGGGGGGAGGACAGAAAGTAGAAGAGTCAGGGCATGACTGAGGAACGGGGGCAGGGGAGGAGGCACAGGGTGGCGGTGAGGGGACAGTGCAGCAGCCCACCAGATTATTTCCTTGCCATCTTCCTTGTGAGCTCCCGCCACCATGAAAGTGTGTCCCTGGCAGTAGAAAGGAGACTCAGTCTACCTTACACTTTGCAGCTGGAGAAGGGGGCCAGACTTCTGATCTCCCCAAACCCCACCCCCAAGCAGCTTTTCAGGCAGGGAGCACTCTGGAAACTCCCTTCCTGTGGCAAACAGGTGCAGCTGCCCAGGCAGGCAAGGACCCGAAAGGTTTGGGCACCATCTGCCCTGTGAGGGTAGGCACAGAAGATAGCAGGGGTGGAACAGAAATTGGAGGGCACTTCCTACCCACCGTCTGCCTCCTGCCTCTCGCCCTAGCCTTGTACTCCTTGACAGAGCCACTTACCAGTTGCCGGAGCCTACAATGCAGACTTTCTTGCCAGCCATGGTGCCACTTCTCTAACTGATCCAGCTCAGTGCTCTGCTCCCCAGCTCCTCTGCCGACTAGGAGCATATAACTCCGCCACACATGGGTGCAGCCAAGTCCCGCCCTCCAGGGGCGGGCTGGGAGGCGGGTGCCCAGGGAGACAGGGACTCTGGTAAAGCCAGGGAAAGGGGAGGAAAGGGTAGAGACAGGTGGTGAACAGGAATGGGGCAGAGTCCAGGCCCCTCTTCCTTTTAGGTTTGCCAGCTGATGGTGCTAATGAGCTGCTTCCCTTGGCCCCAGCCCTCCCTCCCTGTAATGGTCTCATTTTGAGGTCTGCCAAGAAATAGCCCAGATGAGGAGCAAGTGACTGCCACCCGTTCCCTTCTGTCCCCCAGCACTGAAATAAATTGTATTCAGTCCTAGTAGCAGATGCAGGAATGCTTTCTTTTCCAAGGTAGGAATCACCCCACATAGCCTCTTAGGAACCCAAAATCTCCTCTACAGGTTTGTCCTCTAGCAGTGACAAAGACTATGTCACTGGCCCCACGCTAGCTCTACCACAGGGCTGGGTGTGAGTGAGGTGGGCGGCTGTGGGCTCACTTTTAAAGACCACCTAAGAGCTAGGGGCCTGCTTTGGGGGCATCCCAGCCCAAGGATAAGAGACCCCAGGAGCCCTGAGGGAAAAGGTCATCTGTTACCCACAGTGGTCATCTCAGGGACTCCCCCTTGGGCTTCTCTCCTCACCTCAAAGGATCCTCACCTGAATGTCTTCCAGGACGAGAAGGTGGGAAACGTCAAGAGTTAGAAGCTCTGATGCCAAGCAGATTCTGGGCTTGAAGAGGACAGGAGAGCAAAGAAGGTGGCTAAAGCGTTCACTGTTCTTGAGAGGCTTTGAGCTTCCTCCAGTTCTTTCTTGGGTTTCCCAGCTACCACACTAGGGGCTCCCTCAAGTTAGTGGCTGGCTTGCAAGAAGCCAGAAAGGGGAAGGGAGGCAGCACCTGGGGCAGCCGTTAACTTCTGTGGCGCTTTGTGTTCCTAGATCCTATAATTGAGAGTAAGTGGGGTGTGTGATTTGGGACATGGGAAGAGGCTGGGAAGAACACACTGAGCAGTCCGGGACTCTACATCACCCACAGCCATCTGTTTGACAAGGAAGAGAAGCGGCTCTCGTTCCTAGGCTGATCTGGAGTGAGGCAAATGCCCCTACGCTCCGGCTGCCTGTGCCCCTTGGCCTAGAGGGCGGACACCAGTGTCTGCCCACGTGCGGACCTCCTGGCTCGGCGGAGTGCTGAGTGGGCGTTTTCACCCCCTGGGGCCCCTGCTGGCCGGCGACAGCAGTGAGCACCAGGCCAGAGAGGAGTCTGGGTGCAACCACCGAGAAAGGGTCAATGGGCCCGAGGGCAAGACTGGGGGGAGAAGGTTTTTCTAAGTTCTAGGGACTGCCCAGGAGGGGCCCACCGTATTCCCTTCCCATGGCAGGGAGTTCCTCTCACCGGGGAACATACATGAAGTTGGTAGTTGATGGTTTCCCTTAGGAGTGAAAATGCACCTGCTACAGAGCCAGCCTCATTACCGCGCTGGCACTGAGACAAAGGACCAGCGCCAAGTGCCATTCTGGGTGACGCAAGAGAAAGAACGCTTTTGTCCCTGGCACATATGGCGGGAACCCTGGAGAATGGATGTTTATGCATAAAATAACCCCCTGGTTTTTTGCCTAAATTCTCCCATCTCTCATTTTGCCCCTAAAATCATTTTCAGTAGTATGGAGACAACGAACTTGTGCATTTATATGGGAATAAAGAGTGTGCAGATTCAGAACTGGCTCATCACAGAAGCTGTCTGTACTACTAGAGCTTTCCCCCAGAGCGAGCTGTAGATTATCTGCTTGAAATTAATAATGGTTCATCAGCCATTCATTATACATGTAATTAGCCTGCGTAAAAACAGATGCCATTTCAGTGTCCTTGACATCACTTTTTTCCGCTCCCAAGTTATCAACCCCACACAGTCTCCTTTTCCCTACTCAAGTCCGATAAACCCCCAAGTTCCAAATTGGGAACAAGTTGTAACCTGGGTGGGTGTGACTGCATGCAAGGCACTACTTGCGTGTTCCCATCCATGAAGGCAAAGGATAATTTTTTTTTACTACAAGTTTAGAATGTGGTCGCACTCCCCCTACATTCTGAAGCCCGTTCTCGGGTAGAACCAAACAAGACAGCGGCACCAAGGAGGCAAGTACGAGCCGCCAGGTGAGGAGCAAGCACATTATGATGGGGGCTGCAGAATTTCATGCTTCTGCTAACAGATCAATCCCGAGGGGCAGGTTATCTGTAGCCATGAGGAGCACAACACAGCACTTCCATGCCAGTCTTAAGAACTGAAATCTCTCAGGGCCGTGAAAGTGGAACCTTAAAAGGACTGGCAGGCAGAGGCACACAGTCTTCCGCTGCGCAGGCCCTCGCTAGATAGGAGCCCTGGGAGGAACTCGCCTACAGGTGGCTCGGAATCAGCAAGCCTAAGGAACCGCAGGCGCCCCCCGGGCAGTGCTCTGGAGCCGGCGGGTGCCACAGGGAGCTCAGCAGGGTGAGGGAGGAGATCGCAGTGCTACTGGCTCGTAGGACCTCCCTACCGAGAGCTGGGGGCAGGACGCTCAGACCCAGTGAGGAAGCCCAATAATCCCAACCAGTACCCGGCCTGCTTGGACCACTGGGCTGACAGAAGCAGCTCTCAGGTGAGAACCTGAGGTCCACAGGGTAGAAACCTTGTTTTCCACCCTATCTCTAGTGCCTAGCACCACAGCGAGCACACAGCAGGCGCTCAAGAAATATTTGTTATTCAAATAAAATGAACAGACACCATGAGCATGGCTAATGGTATCAGAGAAAGAGCTCAGGGAAGAGCTCTCCCTCAATAGGTAGGGGGACCCATCCTTCAGAAGATTCTTTTATTAAAACCGGGTGACATCGGTAAGGGGACAGTACAAAAAAAATTTTGGTCCATGAAAAAAACATAATAATTCAGTTAATAAAAACAGTTATCTTCAACAGGGACACTATGTAGGAGTGCTGAACTTCCTTCTCATGGTCCCAGCCCCAAGGACAGAGGTTGTCCAGTGTCTGTGGGGAGAACCTTTTAAGGGAGGGATGGGATAATGGGAGGAACGGGAAGATGGGGAGAAAATTCTGTCCCCGGTGTGGAAGAGGCAGGGATATGGGGCTGGAGGATGTGCTCGCAGGAGCCTGAGGAGGGGGTGGGGAAGCAGGGGCTTTTGTCAGTTCTGTGGGTTTAGAGCCCAGGCTGAACAGAATTCCCCTCTGTGCCCAGCTGTCTCCCACCCTGCTATGTTGAGTCTGCGAGCCTGGGATATGCTAACTTGGGGTGATACAACCTGGAAGAAGAATCTGAGGCTCTCCTGGAGAGATGCAAAACCATCTCAGTTCCAAGGGGCCAAGATCACAAGGTCCTGCTGCTACCTGAGGGGGTCTGAAGCTTTGAGGGCAGGGGCTGGGGAGTCACAATCCTGTGAGGCCGGGAGAGGGAAGAGTCACAAACCCAACTCAGAGCTATTCGCCAGCCCTAGGCGCTTTCACTCCTCAGTGCCCTAGAAGTCACCAGTGGGTGTCAACTGGGCAGACAAGGGACAGGAAGACAGGGATGGCCCAGGGCTTTTACCCGTTTGATTTGAGGCCTGTTTCTCTATGAAGGGATGGGGAGGCAGGATGGAGTGAATAAATGAGTCACACCTCCAAGCAACAGCAGGAAGGAACGGCCTCTGCTGGCAATGACAAAACCCCAGGTTAGATCCCTGGGGCTCTGACAGAGAAAGGCAAGATTCCCCCACCCAAATGCCCTGCGTTAGGACAGCTCGAGAGCAGGGGATCCTAAAGACAGCAGCTACAGGGAGTGTGCTGGGAGGGAGCACTAGTTAACAAACTCCAATACTGATGTGGACCCCCTACGAGGGAGTAAGAGAAGCACTGAGACAGCAGGCCAATCCAGAGGGCTGCGGACTGACCTGGGGCTCAGTGGGGCACAAGAACCAGGGTTCCTTTAGTGCTAGAGGGCAACAAGTAAAGGGAGAGTGTGCTCCAAACCTGTGGAGGGAAGGAAGGAAATTGGATTCTGTTATCCAGAGAGCCAAGATCAACTAGCTTATAGAGTGCCCCCAGGCCTGAGTCTCAGAGAAGGGGCTAAAGCTCCCAACTCCTGGGTCTCTGAAGGGCAGGATCAGTGTAGCCGGTCCCCTTGAAGACCACCTGGCCTTAGGCCCAATCCATTCAATGCACTGATTACCACTACAGGTTCTCTCTCTAATACTATCTAGAGGTCCTATGTAGACCAGGGGAGGGTAGAGGCACATGGGAACTTTGTGGGGCAAAGGGAAGCTGGGGGACAGGAAGGGATGGGGTGGGAGAAGAGGGTGACAGGTGTCTTGTGGGACAGAAATGCGAGACCCTCTTCATTCTGGTGTTGTCCTTGAACCAACAGCATCCCCTGGAAGGCCCCAAGCAAGACCAAGGCAGGTGCTATGAGGCAGGCAGCACAGGGCCCAAATACGAATCGGTGCAGCCAAATCAGGGCTGTGGAAGAGGCCCTATGTATTTCGGATTCCCAAGGCTTGCTCTAATTCTTGTCGTCTCTGCTGCACCTAGGGAGAAAACAGTGGAGGGAGCAGGAGATGAGACAAACCAGAAGCTGGCACCTCATACCGCTGACCCCCATCTGGGGTTCAGACCCCTTGCTTTTCGTCAGTTTCCCATGCCCAGGCACCTACCTTGGAGTAGAAGTATCGGCACACAGCCTCCTGAGCCCAAGGCTGGAAGTAAAACTCAGCTCGGCGCTCTTCCTCTGGGTTACCCACCACATCGGTCATGGTCTGGGGGATACGGGAGGGGGAAGAGAGAGGAGAACAGACTTGTCTCCCTCCTTCACACCTGTTATGGACTGAATTGTATCCCCCCAAAAGATGTCAAAAATCCTAACCCCCCAGTACCTGTGAATGTGACCTTATTTGGAAATAGGGTCTCTGCAGATGATCAAGTTAAGATGAAGTCATTAGGGTGGGCCTAATCCAACATGACTGGTATCCTTATGAAAAGGGGGAACTTGGACACAGAGACAGACATGCACAGAGGGAAGACGATGTGAAGACACTTGGAGAACACCATCTGCAAACCAAGGAATGCCTGAGGCTACCACAAGCTAGGGGAGCGGCCTGGAACAGATTCTCCCTCACAGCCCTCAGAAGAAGCCAACCCTGCCAACACTCTGATTTCAGAATGCCAGCCTCCAGATAAAAATAAATTTTTGTTTAAGGCACTCAGTTTGTGGTACTTTACTATGGCAGCCCTCGCAAACTACTAATACAACGACCAAAGTCACCCTTTGCTATCAGTGAGTCTATTGCTTTGTTCAGGGACCCTTTCTGGCACCCCTCGTCCCTCGCTCCTCTGCTCGGCCTTTGTAATTAGTCACAGTCACCTTTCACGGAGAAGGAGAAAACTGCGGGCACATTTCACTCGTTCAATGCTCACCCCCCCTTCCTTGCCTAAGCTTGTGGTGCTCCCCTCTCTGAGAAACACCTCAGATCCCACCTTCACCATGGGGCGTTCCCCAGCTATCCCAGCCTCACCTACCTCCCTTCTCCTCTGAATTATCGCAGTGATAGTGGTGAGTTCCCATCATGACTTACGTGGTTTACAACTTTTTTATATCGGATCAGTTGGTTCCCTTCCCCCCAAAAGAAAATAACCCAGTCTGAAATAATCCTTTCTTTGCTTCTGCTAATAACTTCCTTGCTCCTCCCCCCACGCCTGTCTATCAAAACCTTCCATTCTGTACAACTCCTCAGAGGGCCTATTTACTAGAAGGGATGCTGTCTAATTCATGAATCATTGAATAAAACCAATTAGATCTTCACATTTTAAATAAATAAATAAATGCATAAATCCTATTAGCCTAGTTTCTCCAAACAGAATGCAGGTTGCTCTGAAAGCAGAGATCCAGGTCTGCACTCCGCATCCCCTACGATGTGACACCTCACAGTAAGGAGACTGGATAAACACTCGATGGCTCCACCTCATAACCTGACTCGATTAGAAAACAGACCTGAGAGCAGGCTAAAGAAAATCTGGTCCTTCACTTCCCCCTCCGGCTCTTCTACCAGATGCTACAGAAACAAAGCAAACCTGTGCCTCACTGACCTAAGGCCCTATGCACCTTTCCTAGTTCTTTACCTTGAGGTCCCGGCACTGGGACTGTAGCCAATCATTGATGAAACCCTGAGGGTCTCTGGCGAAGCTCAGCATGAACTCCCGCTGGGTCTTCAGCTGATTGATAGTTTCTATTGTCTCATGGATCTGAAAGGAAGAGAAGGACGCTCCTAACATTTCAGACTGGGAAATGCGAAGTTACACAGCAGACAGTGCCTGCCACTCCCAACCGAGGCCTGGAGTGCTGCCCAGCGCTCAGCATTCTTTCAGCAGGTATGTGCACAGTGTCACACACCCCACGTGGCCGAAGTTTTCCTTCTGGTCTCCACAACGTCCACCATGGGGGGAGCCGCACGGCGAATACTTAATCCACAGCACAAATAGGTGCAAAAACACTCTGAGGTAGGAGCAGTGGTACAGACCACTGGCTCAAAAGCTGTGCTCCAGAGGTCTGTTCCTGCCCTCCCCTCATCATCCATACTCGTCCTGGCAACTTCCTTCACTGACAGATCTTCCGTTACCACTGACAGGTTCGTGAGTCCTCAGTCTACAGACCAGTCCATTTTCTAAACTCCAACCACTCCATCTGTTTGGACATCTCAAGGCACCTGAAACTCTCCAAAATGAAATTCACTACCTTTCCCCCAATACTCACTTCTGTTCTCCTGTTGCCAATCTGGATGAATACTACCATGCATCCAAGCTGAAACCCTGGGAGTCATAATGCCTCCTTCTCCCTCAAGCCGCTCCCCGCCATCCAAATCTCTTCAGTTCCACTTTGACACCTCAGATTTACTTCTTTTCATCCTTACTGTCAGTACCACAGGTTTAGGCCTCCACACTGGCCTCCTATTTGGGCTTCTGGCCTCCAGATCCGCCCCTCTTACAACTCACTTTCCACTTTCCTGCCAGTGATCATTCTAAATGCAAAGAGCATCACTGCCTCCAGTCTTCAGGACAAAATAGAAACCAGTTTCCCTGTATCAAAGCTTCTTCATAGTTAGGCTCCTGCTTCCCTGTCCAGTTTCTTTTCCCCAAATTTCCCATCCCTGGCACCCTGAAATAGACCTAGCACATTAAACAGCTTGTACTTCTTGAACATACTTCTCTCTCGTTTTTACATACCCTGTTCTTTTTGCAATGTCCTCTGCCTCCCACACCCCTAAACACTATCCTTTCTCCCCTTTCATTAACTCTCACTTTGTCCTTCAAGATTTAGTTGGGGCACCAACTCTTCCAGGAAAGCCTCCCTGTTCTTTGTGTTCCTTCGAGCCTTTTCTGGCTTTACCTGCATGGACTATGTCTAACCAAGATAATAGCAGAAACAGCAGCAGTTATTGTTTTCATGTGCCAGATACCGTGTCGTCTTTACATACATCGTCTCACTGAATCCTCACAACAACCTTATAAAAAAGCGATAGTCTTGGGCGCCTGGGTGGCTCAGTTGGTTAAGCGACTGCCTTCGGCTCAGGTCATGATCCTGGAGTCCCCGGATTGAGTCCCATATCAGGCTCCTTGCTCAGCAGGGGGTCTGCTTCTCCCTCTGACCCTCCCCCGTCTCATGTGCTCTCTCTCTCTCATTCTCTCTCTCAAATAAATAAA